CACTAGGACACTGTGGATGGACGAGTTCCTGCACCACTTTGAAACGATGGGAAACCGCTGTTTGTTGGTATTTACAAGGGAATCATCCTTGCAGGGTGTCTTAGGTGTTGCAGAATTTCGCCCACCCACAGTATGCCCACCATTGAGCACCAACAAGCCCCCGGTCTGCAAGACCAATACCATCATCCCGTGCTCCGTGGGATGAGGGGTGTGGCCAGTTCTCAAATACGCCACCATGCAAGGATTGAAATCCCCAAAGCGCAGGATTCGCGCAATGGACACCCCTGTTCATCAACCTGTGATTAATTGGTTCTGGGTGTGTATTGTTCTTCAACTCGTGGGGTGGTTCAAAGGCGACCTCAAAGGGAAACCCCTCGCCTCATTTTGTGCAGCGTCGGCCCCGGAAGTTGCTATTGGCATTCGACACTCGAGTTGGAGTCCTCGGAGAGCCTAGAGTTCCCACAGCCCAGCATCAGGATGCTGTTGGAAGGCTGCACATATTCTGCGAAGCAGTCCTCACGGGCGATCATACGGCTGGACCCAAATTGGTTGCGTCACTTTCGGCAGAGCGCCATGATGGATGGATTGTGGTTTATTTGGGGGACAAGCCTCCAACAAGATTGCCTTAAAAAGAAAAAACAAGCAACACGGCCGGGGTGGGGTCTTCTCTGAGGCCAGACTTAGATCTCCAGCACAAAGCGTGGGCCTGTTTGCAGGTTGAAGAGGCAGCTGGCGGCTTTAGCGACAAAGGGGCAAAGAGTTCAAAGGCGATGTGGTCCAACTCCGAGACTGAAAACTGAATGGGATTTCTCGGATCCCCTTTTGGCATTCTTTGGGAAGCAACGGGCTACCGTTGCCATAGACCGATTCCCATTTCGAGGAATGCCGCCGAAGGCCCCTCCTTGAGCCCGGCCCAACGTTGATACCAGTCGAAGGCTTCCGGGTCGCGTGTGTAGCGCTCCTCGATCGGGGGCCCCGATGGAAGAACTTTGCTTCCCACTTGCTAGGCGGTTTATCCCCATATCCATAAGGTTTCGTGCACTTGGTAGGTGGTTTATCCCCATATGGATCATGCCAGCTGACGGAGTTGGTTCAACAGAAAGCCCTCCAGACTCAAATACTCTTCCCCCAACATGGAAGCTGAGGGAAGCGCTTGGAAGACTACTTTCCTCTTGGGAACTCCCCTGTCCACCTCCATGATTTTTGGGAAGAGGGTGCCGTGGGGTTGGTCCTTCTTTATGGTACTTCTTTCCCTACGGTTCAAACGGAAACCAAAAAGAAAACCATCCTCTTTCAGAGCCCCCCCCCATGTTCACAGATACCCACCTCTCCCCGCTGCAATCGAATTCCGTAAGAGCCTAAATAGTTAGAATAAAAAGGTGGGGGATTTTAAGCCAACTTAGTTGTGATTGTAATAGAATCGGACAAGCTCTCCAGAAGGACACTTCTTCCACGAATCATGTCTTGTTCAATGCCAATGTGGGAAGCTACCAATCCCCTTTCCTCTTTGGTAGCTGACACCTTGGTTTGCACAGTCGCTTTCTGCTTTGGGCAGTTCAATGCTCACACCTCGCTAAGTTCAAAATGTCCCCTTGAAGCGGCCGAGCCGATGGCTGTGAATCCAAGAAGGAAGCAGTACACACCCTTTCGGCTTGTGTATGTGGGGCTTGATTAAAATGTCCCTTACCTGAAGTGCTCATTAGGGAGAGCACCCAACAAGACGACTTTCAGCACCAAGACCCCCAAAAGGTGTGGCTCGTTTTTTGGCTTTACCTCAAAACCGTCAAAATGTTGGAATTTCAACATGTTGACACACCTCCAGATAACCATGGAACAGCCTTGGCTGCACCCTGCCGCCCGCGCAAATTTACGGAAGCAACCACAAAAAAGAGAGAATCCCCAAAAGGAGACTCCCCTAAACATGGCGGCTTTGTGAGTTCAATTTGGGAGAGGAACCGCTGTAAACAAGCATTCGCCCTCCAAAAAGAGTCTGCCATGGGCCATTACCCGCTCGACGTGCTCAACCCTCTTCTCACTCGGCTGCTTGCTAGAAGGACTTGTGAAAGTGATGCAGGAAATGATGCACATACTGACATTTCCCAAGCCTTACCGCAACGTTAACATTCATCCTGAATGCCTGCCTCAAGGAAAAAAACATGTAGTGTCCGTGCTTGCTCTCAAACATTGAGGCATGCTAAGGAAGATGTTCAACGGCATCCCTAATCCCAATTTGCCATCATCCGCAAATCCATAGTGGTACACCTCTACAAGAAGGGCAGCGAGCACTTCCGCGATTGTCCTGGCCCGTGATGGCACAATGTAAATGATCTAGCAAAACTGCCGAGTCTGGATTGCAAGGGTCCCCATATATTTTGAATATAACCCCACTTAACTTGGCCCAAAACAACAGGGAAAGTATTGGGAACCTGGACTGGACAGCAGGATGGTTATTTTTGGTGCAGGTCTCCTCCCAGTATTCGGCCTTTCCGTACTGAGCCATGGCTTGTCTTTCGACTACTTGGTGACCACCAGCCGCTTGAGCCGCAAGTCAGCAAGTGCAGCGGTGTTGGACACTTGCTCCGGAATCCCCGACAGCAAAGCAAGAATCAGACAAGGGGACTGGGGGGTTACTTGGATGATCAATCTGCATAAACTGGCTTGGTAGGCAAACTTGCCATGATTTGATTCTGGTCCGTACTTGTGTAAACAAAGGCATCTCCAGCATGAGCGGGTTCGCTCTGGCTGCCCCTTAAACCAGTCCCCAAAAGGGTATCCTCAAAATACCCAACCCTATGTAGCAAACCGCGAAATCTACCCAACCCCCATCCATTATGTGTGCACACACGCGCCATCTGCTAATGCCAGCATCTGGCCGTTTTATCTGATCCAAGCGGCCGACTGACAACGTGAGCCCCGTTTCGGGCGTGGTTTTGCCAATGTGGCAGTCTGTTCCCTAAGCTTTGCGACACCGCGGGATCCAAATTGCTGTTGTCATGTGTCTTTTACGAATTTCAGCGCGAATAAAAGGGCACCTGCCAGTGACGAGTCCTCTATGGGTTCTTTGAAGGTTAAGAGCACATGGGTTTGTCCTTTTTACCCTTTTCAGGTTGGTTTACCGGGAACCAAATCCGATTTTATCCGTAGCGACTTGGATACAACATTGGCCCAGGATCGTTGGACACAGACACCGACATGTTGCTGCGTGACATAGCCTCGGGAAGCATCACTGGAGTTTAGAGCCAACTCTGGATCCCCCTTCCTTAGTCCGCAAACGTAGAGCCACTTAAAACCATACTCTCTTCAGGCCTTTGCGCAATGAGGTAGGACAGTAATTACGTCTGCTTGCCGGTCAGTCACCGATATGTCACCGATCTCCTCTGCTTGGCTGGATTGCTGAGGGAGAACGAGAAAGCAGTGGGGCTCAGATGTCCTGTTGGCCAAGCGTCCCTCACCTCTTGGTTCATGCTTTTCACTCCCACTTATCCAGTCTTCCAGAAAATCAGTCCATTGGCCATGCTTCAACCCCGCAGCGTGCAAGAAAAGGACGCTCCAAAAGCCATGTGGCCAAAATCGGATGAGCGAGCTGGCCATGTCCATATATTAGAATGGCAAGGCTCACTCGCCCATGAATTCACCTGCAGAGATCGATGGTCAATTCAGCTCGCAGCCAAGTGCCCGCCTACGGATTTCAAATCGCTTCCTAGGTCGGTCTTTCATTCACAGCAAGTCGAACTGCAGTGGGAAGAGGCCAATAATCAAAAGTGTCAAACCAACACGCAACCAACATCTCTTGCAACTTTCACGTGCAAGATCAAACCACAAATCCACCAAGTCCGACTTGCCCTGTGGTTTCCTATATAGAGAAAGAAGGACGTCTCTGTATTGAGCGTTGTTTAGGGGTTATCGGAAGCTCCTTGCTCTGCATATCCAGGGCACTTGGTCCGAGGCATGCAATTCAGGAAGCTTTGGACTGTTGATGCTCTGATGGAAAGTCGCTGCTTGGTGTCCGTGCCTGTGTGTGTGCGTGTTGTAGTGAATCGCCTGGAATGGGTGTTGCTCAAAACAGCTGGCACCCAAAAGGGCGGGGATGGACTTTAGTGTTCCTTCAGTTACCAACTAAATCGGTCCAGCACCCTTGCCAGGAAACTCCATGCACTACCTCAAGTGCATAATGAACCAATGCGCATCTCAAACAAGATGAACTTGCGAACATCCCAACACAAGACAAATCCTTGGACAAATGAACTAGAAGAGCTGCTCCAAACCCATCAGATCAACTTGTTTGTACGTCGCAGACATGTGGATTTAGGTTCTGCCGTTCGAGCCTACGGACAAGTTCGTGGACTTTAGCGGCTCGGAGGTGCCAAGGCGTCTGATGAAAATTCCTTTTTGGGGGGTGAAGGTGCGAGATGTTCACACCACGTGGCTTTGAGTGGTTGGGGCGGTTAGGGCGAGCTCAGAGAGAGCTCACTTGAGCGGGCAAAAATGGGAAATGGGGCGACTCTTGCTTGGGTGATTTTCTATGGACACCAACCCAAAGCTAGCAAAAAGTGTGGGACCCGCGTAAAAAAATGGTTGCCACTTCAACGTCCAATCTTGTGTCTTGATGTGCTGTTGGGCGTATTTCAAGAAACTAGTTCACTGGAAACGGTCAATTTGGGGGTTCCCTCGTGTTGAGATAACACCCACATCAGGGCATCTTCGCTCTCGTCTCGAGCGAGCCTGCCGGCCGAAAGGGCCGGCAACTGGCAACTCTCCTCCTTACGCTCCACTCCTCTGGAGGGGCTAAAGACTACGTACTCTGCCCGGCCTCTGGCAGTCTGAATGCGCAATGCGCGACTCAACAAAGGAGAGAGACCAAAGCACGTGTTGTTTTTGTTCTTGGAGTCCCCTAGAACAATCAACCCATTTGGCTACATCTTAAAAAATATTTGTCTGGGTTGTGTTGCCGTCGGCATCAAACACGCCCAACGCCAGGCAACCACTAACTGACAAAACATGTAGTTGTCTAGGACCACGGACCCACACCACGACATTTCATGTTGCACTGGTGACGGATGGATTCACATCCCCACAACAAAACAAGGTGGTCCAAACCACCCATTTGTTTTATGTTCTCTTGGGCAAACCATTTTGTCCGGGGCTCTTCCTATCGGCCACAAACGTGGCCAAGGAAATCAGACTTCAGAGGGCAGGCCGACTAACTTGCGCACGCAGCAAACTGTGACACTGGCTCACCTCCCAGGTGGTCTAATGGAAGGCTTGTTGGTTGCCCCTAGATTGGATCGCCCCGTTGAAAACCGCAAAGCGGCTAGAAACTTTATGTAAACCCTTTGAAACACAAACCAACAAATATACGCTACGTTTATCACTGGCCGGACCAACACATTTCGGTGTATGCATAGTATACATTTATATATATATATATATATACATACATGCACTATGGATGTATATAAGCATAATATGCACCCGACTGGATCCATCATAGGTCAAAGCGACCAAAGAGTTGGGAAGCGAGCTGGAGACCCATGAGTCATGAATCTAAAATAATTACTCCGTGAGGCGCCGTCTTTCGCGGGCTGTGGATCACTGACACGCGGCAGCATTCCCCTGTGCCGTCCTCTATATGGCTGCGGATCAAAATAGGTACCCAAAATGGAACCCTGGCAAATGGAACCAAGGACTAAAACCTGCGGTCCCCCCGGTGGCTTAATATTGACCCGTACCCATATCTCCGAAACCAATGAGAAAAGAAGTCATATGGCCCTCGTAGTCTTAGACTTGGTTCTGTTGTTTGCTTCCCACAGCCCATGCCGTGCCATCGGCTGTCGGCCGCGAAGCGCCGAAGCGCCATTGATGGCTCAGTGCGTTTGGCCAAGCAGTACCTGAGTGAGTTGTCTGAGTCAAAATCCAATCGTACCCCCAGTGAACATCCCAGTCCCCACTAAAATAAACTAAAATGGGTGGTGCACCTACCCCAAAATTGGTACCATTGGCTTTGACGCACAGCTATGTAAAAAATTCAGAAGGCGGATATCCGCAGCTTTCATAGGTGGGATTGTCCCTTTTTAACCTCCGTCTACCCGGGTTTTGATCATGGCTCATCTCTCTCTCCCCGGCCAATTGCTGGGATTTCTCTTCTGACCCTGGGGATATTCACGATTGTGCCCAAAATGGCTGTGTCTTTCTGCGATAAAGTGAGATTTTCGTCGTGGTTTCTTCGTCACCAGATGTTCCTGCATATCCCAGACGAGTAGCACCCCGAAACCCGGGGACTTTTGCTCTACAAACATGGGCTTTACTAGATCCCCATTTGTTCCAGGTAGAAGCACCTGCAAAAAGGCCAGCCCATGAGAATCGGTTTTGGGACCTATGGGGAAGTGCTCTGAAACTTGGGTCCGCCTTCTGGAAGAAAGACACTGCCCGTCCAACGGAGTTATTTTCTGGGCTGCTTTCAGATCCCTACTCACGGTTTAAACTTTAATAGTTCAGTGGAAATTATTAAAAGCTCACCACTGCGGGGATGGGCTCGAACAAGTTTAACTTTTTGTTTACCACTAAAATGGTCTTCAAATGGACTTCCCAAAAAAGTTTAAAGTCCAGCCATCGGCTTAGTGCGCCAAAAACGATCTGCCCCGGCAAATGACGGGTTAGGCTGAGGCAAAGAGTTCAAAAATGGCGGCTGCACCCATGTAGTATCCATTGCTGACCTTTATCTACCCGGGTTTTGCTTGTGAATCAGCTGTTTTTGGGAAAATCCAGAATATGCGGCAATGTACCCATAACCTAAGAGGCATCATCCCATGCTGAACGATTTCCAGAGGGTATTGATCACTCTGTTCAATGGACATTGGAAACTCCATGCGGACAAAATGGGGCACCCAACAATCCATCCATGCTTGCTGGAATTCGGTTTTGGGGATCCCTTCTTGGGTTTCATGATCAACACTTCTGAAGGGATACAGAACAAGCTTCCCACACTCTCGCAGCGCCGGCGCAGACATGAACGTCAGCATTTGGCGCGAATACCCGACAAACTTACCACCAAAAGCCGCCGGGCAGTACCCAAAACCGAACCCCCTAGTAATTTGTCCGCTGCGCACGTGATGGTTTCTTAAGTAGGTTTTGTGACGGTTGCGCGGCCAATCATGGAAGTGGACAAAGGCCTTTGAAGAGGACGGCCGTCTTCCAATCCCCATTCCGCCGGCTTCCATGATCTCGACGAAGGGTAAATTCCAAAAGGGTACTGACCATTCCTAGTGCCCCAGAGTCAGTAGGTGTTTTGACTGTGGCATGACCACCAAATCTGCCAAATTCACCCTCAGTCCAATGAATTGTGTCAAAGTAGCACACATAAATGCGCAGCTACAGCCAAAAACACCTTTCCAGGTTCACGCTGCTTTAGGCACTCACTGCATTTGCTTCAAACCCCCCTAACAAAGGACCTTCAAGCTCGATAAAACCCCTATGTGAGCTTGTGTTGTTGCCCGTTGCAAG